AGGATTTCTGATCTCCTTTTTGATTGAAGAACATTAATCTAAAGAAAAATACACTTGGTTAATCACTTATGCATTATTTAAGAAACTAAACCATTTTTCAATATTGTAAAAACTGTCTATCCTGATGGTTTAATACTTTTCCAAAATAAGACCAAAGCACAAGTTTTTAATACTTTGACCCTTTTTCTGCAAAAAGTTAAAATGCACATACCAACAAAATTCTCAACCATTTTTAACTCAATAAAAACTTGGCTATTTAAATTATAATATCCAAGTGATAGAACTATTTTGATATTTGAATTCTGAGAATTCCATATTTTACTGATCCTCCTTATCTATTTGCACATCAACATATAGCCTGATTGCAAATTCTTCTCACTGTATCACCATATCCTCTACTCTAGACTGCTGAAATAGTCTATGAACTAGTCTCTGCTTCCCCTCAATTCTGTACAATCCATGATCCACTTAGGCACCAGAACGATCTTTTGAAAATATAAATAAGATTATATAATTTAAAACCCTCTATGTTCCTGCTCTGTCAGGCAAGACCCAATGTGATGAGGCCCTAGCCTCCCTCTCCAACTAGCTTTCAATTACTTTCCCCCTTGCAGCCACAGCCCAAGACCTTCCTCCCACCATCTTGCCTCTGTACTAGCTGTTCTGTCTATACTCTGGATGTGCTGCTTTCATGGGCTTGAGGCTCTCTCTTACTAGTCAGCCCTTAACTACCTCATCCTCAGAGTTTAATGCAGTCCCTCACCCACTGTCTAGCACATTGGCATGATTAATTTTACCCACAGCATTTAAAACTACCATAAGTTTCCTTATTGTTTTGCCCCCCCCCCAACGCTGAAGTATTAGTTCCATAAGATCAGGATCTTTGCCTTAATCTTAGCTTTAGTCCCCCAGGCAGCACACATTAAGCACTTAATTCCTTAAATAAAATAATGGACCTTAAATATTGTAATTAGACTAAACTTAACAAAAGACAAGTAACCAATAGATTTGCCTTTCATGGGATCTAGAATCATTTACTCTTTGCAAGTACTGTTAAAAATTAATTATTATTATTATTAATATATCCTTCCTGCTGAATTCTCTATTTTATAATTTTAAAGCTTTGACTAGAAAACAAAAAAAGAACAAGAAAAATCTATATAACCTTCTAAAAGCCTAAATAACCTCAGTGCTCTCTGCCACTGAGGTACATCCCAGTCCATTTTATTTTTTATTTTGAGACAGTATCT